CAAAGAAAGAATACCGAATCAAATGACTGTCCTCACAAGATGGAGTTGCAGAGTCGAGAGACCAATTGTCACGAGATAAAAATTTAACATTTTATTTTCTAACATTATACCACTGCCTTATTTAATGGTTTGGCGTTCATATAAAAAGGTTCATTCAACTGCCAAGATTACATAAAGTTGAATGGAAGAATGCTTCGTGAACAATAAATGAAAATGATTTTGGAAGAAGCGATCATGGCCCATTCTATTGTACTATCTAGACATTTATATGGAAGAAATTATAAAATTATTAAATAACTTCTATAAATTCCCTTTAAAATTAAGAAAATAACGTTATCCTGAGCTCTCTTCCGTGATTCTACTCGCTCCCTTTGATAATCAAAATGTTTTCAATCCTAACCAAATTAATTATTACTTATATGAGTTCAAGAAATTGAAATAATATAAAATATAAATATACTCAGTGATGATTATTTAAATTCTATCACAACCTCCCAGATTCGTAATTCACAATTATCTTGCCATAACTCAATGAGCCTATACACGAAATAAAACCCAATATTTGATACATCGTTATAAAATAACCAGGGAACAAGCCATGATTATATATTTTTGAAAGCACTACAAGATGTTCTATTTCATTTTGGTGATTTTTCCGTGTTTCTCCACACAAATTCAGAAATAATATTTCGAGAAAGGCCACTACCATCTCCTTCAAAATCGAAATTTGGTCTACTTAAAATACCTGATCTTCTTCCAACGTTATTTAATTCTGTACAGCATCTATAGTTCGAACAGTGTCATCAAATAATTTATAAATCAATTTATACTTTCTTCTTAAAATTTTTGACTGTAGTCAAATACGTCGCGAACGTATTTGGGACTGATAAAGTTATGAAATACGTTTCTGTTTTCATTAACAGGCTTAGCATTTAAAGTTACGTTATTTTAAAGGATATTTCTTATATTTTGCTGTTTAATGTTCTTGAAAATTAAATAGAAATACTAATTTATAGGTTAGGAAGAGAGTTTCTAGACAAATGCAACGAAGCCCTGGTTACGTTTTATTAAAACAACACTAACAATTTACAATCCACGTGAGGTTCCACACACCTGCACTTATAATCCTATTTTCACTCAAGCTTGTGTACTGGTGGGTTAGGTCCTACATTTTGCTCTGTTAACTTCAACTAAACAACCGTTGAACACAAATTTCAGAGTCGACATTCACAATTTCAATTCTTGCGTAAAATATAAAATAATATAAAAATTGTGATGGAGAAAACATTCACCTTAAAACAGGGAGAGATAATTCTAAACAGTATCTTATTCACGTAAAAGATAAAAAATATTTTACGAAAGAAGATTTTTCGGGGTGCTTTCCTTACAACGGTACGTGGTTCGAGGTACTTCTGATCTCACGTTTTGTCTTATTATAAAAATGACGTATATTTTTTTGTTGAAAAAGTTAATTATATCTGAAATAGAAATGTAAAACAGATCACTTGTTTCAGATATAAAAAAAATAAATTAAATTATGTGTTTGGTGGCTGAACGACCAAATAAACAGTCACTTTCGAAAATTAAGTACGTAATGTATTTCGTGTAGAATTCAAAATTAAATTAATTTACTTAAATTTTTTCTTTTGTAGTTATTGGTGACGACTGACAATTCAACATCACGTAAGTCAATGGAATAAGACAGACAAAGGAGTTTTGTAACTTTTGCAAATTATAGTTGAATTACGCAATATATAAGGAAAACACCGAGAAATCTTTACAATTTTAAACTCAAATAATGTAGTTTCTTCACACATAAGATGTTAGGCTCAACAGAGTAGAGCCCCTTGGAAAAATTATCACAATAACATTTAATAATAAATGACAAACAGTTTTATAAAGAGACAAATATATTGATAATTTAAGTTAATTTTAAAAATTTAGGCCAAATATACTATTTTTTTTTAAAGACATCAGCGAGTAACATTCACAAATGCGTGAACAAATTTTAAATTTACTTTAGCTTGTCAGTTCAAGGTTCGTAAAATTCAGGCTTAAAGTCGAATAATCAGCCCTAAATGAAACATAAATATCATATTTTTTAACAATGAATTTTATGTTTTTTTTCATTTTAACGAAATATGAAATTTGATAAGACAAAAATTATTCCCCCGTTTGCCACCCCCAAAAAATGTTTACTCTAGATAGGCTACAGTACATTAACATTGTGATAACTGCGTATAAATGAGATTTCTGTGTCCCAGTCGATATTTTTCTACTGTGGAGAAGACCGTATGACAGTCGATGAATGATTTAAGATGCAATTTCACACGTTCGCTCACCGTACACACACTACACACACGAAGGGGTTTGGTGAAAGTACTGTACAAACCAACGCTTTCACACTGAGGCAGCGTGTTCCTGTAAGACCCCCACTGCACTCCAAAAATACGACAGAATTTAATTTTCATTTACATATCCCATATTATTAAAAATATATGTGCTCCGTTGTGTATATTTTATTCCAAATTTCACAATTTCTTTGCTAATTAAAAAAGAAATCTTGACGACTTACAAAGTTGAATATTGTTAGCTTAAAGTGATAATTGATGGTAAGAGATGTTACATAAGATACGTGTTTAAGGATTTTTAAATCTCAACTGTAACACTGAAGAGGTTAAGACTCTTATTCTTGGCAATTTTCAAAAGGAGACGTAATGAAATATCCTTCTATTAAAATCATAAGTAAAAATTTATTTATTCCTTTAGCAGAACTTAAACATACATTTCTGCAGCGAGGATAATTTGAAATGCCACACTATAAAGATTTAATTCACAAAAATGACCTTGAAATCTAACTATTAATATGACATTAAATAAATAAATAAATTGCAGTTGTTCTTGGTGGCCAATTTTATGGTGAGAACTATTTTATTACCAGGCAATTATTTAGCGAGTAAAGTTTCGTGATGTTACATTTTTTCCACGAAGTAATTTTCTTGTTACAGATTATTTTAAGAAAATTATTCGCGAATAACAGACGCGTTGGTAAAATCTCATATGCTGTTACCTTTGGTTTATTTACATATTTAATTACTCATATAATTATTTTTTAACAAATGACAATTAAAATACGAAACCCGTTCAATATCTGTAAATGGAGACTCACAATTTCAGTGTTCAGACAAGAGTCATCCATGTTCTGTCTACAGCGTATCAGAGGAGTGCAGAAGGAGGCTGCCTCAAGTTCACAAAGTGATTTATATAGTTTTAATATTT